GTAAGTCATTTCAATGCAATTCATTCATTCAACACTCCTTTTGACAGTGAAGAAAGTGATTAACGTTGCGGTCCGTTTGCCTTATTTTCATCCAAACTATATTCACAAAAATTAATGACCCAGTTATAATTGGCAATACTTACATTTCGTCTTAATGAATTTGGAATTATTGAAAACATTTATTTATTTTGTCTGCTTGTATTGAAATGAATTGAATGGAAAACTAAATGAATTAATATCGGTTTAACGTGAATATTTTAAGGCTGAAAGAGTAAATATAGTTTGCGACTTGTTCAACTTTCTCCCTAGTTATTATATAATAAGATTGACACTGTCTTCATTAATCTCCATTTGTTTGGGGACTACAGAAAAGTTTTTTTAAAGATTCGTCACTTGCCTTCCTTTTAAATAAAATCACGAAAAAAGAGATATCATTGCAAAAATTCTAAAATCGGGAAAATCGAGAAAAAATTTCAATGAAATCGAATTTTAAAGTAGACAGTAATTCTATTGTCAAACATGGAGAGGCCCTTTAAACATTTTCTGTAAAAAATTAGGGAACCAGATGTTTTTCTTTTTATACCCTCCACCATACTATACTATTCATTTTGTCGTTCCGTTTGTAACTCATCAAAATAATGATCTTAGACCCAACAAAATATATATATTCTTAATCAGCGTAAAATTCTAAGACGATTTAGCTATGTCAGTAGTCAGCTCAAGTTCGTAAATGGGTCATGTAGGTCTACGTTTTCATATAGCCCCCATATATCGGTACCTCACGATATTCGGTATTTTGATGATTTTAGCGACATTATTCACCGGAATTGTTTCAAATTTGGCATTTGAAGTTCGAAATGGATACTACAGCCTGAGACAGAAAATTGTCTGTGCAAGTCCACGTCTTGGTATAGCCCCCATATAACGGTACATCCCAATATTCGGAATTGTTTCAAATTACGTATTTAGAATTCGCAATGGGAACTACAGTCTGTGACAGAAAATTGCCTATGCAGGTCTGATATTACACGTTTGGTGCACAATAAAAAGCAAATCGGACGAAGATATATATGGGAGCTACATCTTAATTTTGACCGATTATCTCCAATTTCAATAGGGTTCGTCCTTGGGCCAAACAAATGATATGTGCATAATTTCATCTGGATAGGGCAATAAATGCGAACTGTACTTGGTTTACAAAAATAAATGGACAGACGGACGGACGGACATGCATAAATCGACTCAGAATGTGATTCTATGCAGATCATCAAAAGGAACTATGGGTCTATCTCTATTCCTTTTGCCTGTAACAAACAAATGCACAAAGACATAATACCCTGACCACCTTGTGGTGTAGGGTATAAAAAAAGTAGAAAAGCTGTGAGTTCGGCCGGGCCGAACTTTGAATACCCTCCACCATTTGGAACGAATTTGGCAATTCTCAAAAACAAAAAATTCCGTTAAAAATTCTGTTAAAATCTTAAAAATACCGAATGTAGCTGTTATATTACGGTCTATACGACGACATGAACCTGCGTAGGTGACATTTGTCAAAAGCCATTACAATATTCAAATGTAAAACTTAAAAAAATCGGTTATAATGTCGATAAAATCAAAATACAGAATATCGGAAGGTACCGTTAAATGGGGGTTATACGAAAACGTGGACCTGTACAGACAATTTTCTGTCGTAGGCTGTAGTATCCATTACGAACTGTAGTATCCATTACGAACACTAAAATCATCGAATATCGGGAGGTACCGTTATATGAGGGCTGTACGACGACGTGGACGTGCACAGACAATTTTCTGTCATAGGCTGTAGTATCCATTACGAACTTCAAATACCAAATTTGAAACAATTCTGGTGAAAAATAAAATCATTAAAATGCAAAGACAATTTTCTGTCTTAGGCTGTGGTATCCATTATGGACTTTCCGGTGAATAAATTCGCAAAAATCATCGGAGATTTTATTTTTTGAAAATTTCCAATTTCATTCCAATGGTGGAGGGTATTCAAAGTTCGGCCCGGCCGAACTTACTAATTTTTAACTTGTTAATATTTTAATATATTTAACGATCTCCTTTCTCAAATTAGTTTTGTCTACCATCCACATCAAAATAATTTCGATTGTGATCGATTTTTCTTCTTTTATCATTTTATTTGTGCTAAACTTAAATGCTTCGTTCTTTAATTTCCTCATTAAACTTTTTTCATTTCCCCACTCACTTCCACACGCATTATAGTAGCATAGTTTCTTTGCTTTCTTATGTTGCCACAAACAATGTTATATAAAGTAGTTGTAGCCATTTTTCTTCAAAATCCTCTATTTCCTATGGTTAAGACTGTGGTTCGGATTTCCATTCATTGCCAAAATGGCTATTTAGTTAAAAGCTTCTTTGAAAATTTCTTAGTTTGGAAAAACGGTGTAAAAATACATTGTTTAAAAGGCGAAGAAATAGGTTAGTTCTACTCTTTGGTGTTAATTTCAGCAGAAGTCGTAGTCTATTGTTTTTTTTTAATATTTCACAGCCAGTACATCTGTTCAAAGGGTTTTGGGATGTTGTTTGTTTCACATAACGGGTAATACCAACAATTGCTGTCATGCACATAAAATTAGAGGGGCAAAATGCGATGTAGCTCCACTTTTTATAGTTTTAGGTGCTTACTTTCTCAATGTTTGCAATAAATCGCATTTTAAACAATGGGTTCTGTTTCTCATTTTGCTTTCTTATTCTTGAGTTGTTATCTTTTCTTCCTCTTCCAAAATCTGAAAATACTTCTTTTATCTGATTTATGTTGACAACATCAGCAGCAATGCTGCTGTTAAAATTTTACAAAAACCATTTTAATTAAATTCAAGTCCAAAAGTCAAAAGTTTTCTTTCTTAGATAGTTATAATGGAGACAACGCAAGATTTAAGTGTTTTCTAGAGGGAAACATAAAATGGCTCACTGTGCAGCAATAAAAAATAGTGCACGCTTATGAATGGCACTGCAGGAAATGGCGTTAAAAGAGCTTTCTAAAACGCTATTACTTTGCAAAACCGATCGTGGAAAATTAGAGAAAAATTGATTTTTATTATTTTTCAAAAGTTATCAACGAGTCCCACTGTTCGAAAACTAAAAATAGTGCAAGCTCATGGAATAGCACGTTGGAAAGCCCATGAGGTGTACTTTCAATATATAAACACTCCTGAAAGATTTTCCCTAAAATCAAGTGTTTTCTAGAGGGAAACATAAAATGGCCCACTGGGCAGCAAGAGCTTTCCGTATTTATGAGAGAACATCCAGGCGTTTCATTCATCTTTTGCGTTATTTGACTCATTTTAGAAATGTACCAAAAATATCAATAAATGAAAACAACTTGTCGTCTGTAATTTTGAATAATTCTGACAGGAAGCGGGTATAGCCTTAAGGCTGTATTTCTGTAGTTTTACGAAGCTGTTCTACCTCCTTATTGCACCATGGTATAATCTGCGCACATTACCAAACTATCGCTAACATCGGTGCTTTTCTCGATAGTCTGGAAATGTGCCATTCAATTAGGCATGTGAAATATATTCGAAGGAACAAAGTATAATCTGCGCACATTACCAAACTATCGTTAACATCGACGTTGGAGGGAAATATTGTAATTGTTGATTTGTATTGAAGAACAAGACACCTGAAACTTGGGTAGGTATACATTTTTGTGAATTTTTATTGTTGAATTTTAATAAAATTCTTCAGCTTTTCAGATAGAAACTTGAATTGTACTGCCATGGATTTGAGAAAAGCTCTTGCCTTGAATGAAAGCCGACAAGAAAATGAAATCAAAATACGAAATATGCATCGGATTCTCTTTATTTTACGCATCCCAATATTGATGGCACATGATCGGTGTGAAGATGGGATATATATAACAAAACGGTAATAAAAGGCAAAATAAGCATTCGAATCTCTTCAAATTTTACACTTCGGAATATTTCTACTACAACAAGATGTGGTATGAAGATGATGGATATTGGTCTTATTCTGGCACCTCCGCCACAAATGATCACAATTTCAAATACTTATAGCTCTCATAACCAATGTTGTCAACTTTAAGTTATTGTTTATATCCACATTTTGGTTTTCGAAGTTAAAGATTTTTGTCAGTAACTCAAAAACTGAGAGAATCCCACTACTGATGTGAATATAAGATTTATCAGCCATTCGCTATCTCCACCACAAAAAAAATTAAATCTATAAATATAAGCATAAAATTGAAAATAAATGTTCATTTTTCTTTAAATTTTGCACTATTCTTATCGATATTGGATGAGGTGGGACACTTCGGCCAACTATGTATGTTACATCCAGTACATTTCAACATTTTCGAAAATTATCACATATCTTATATGTAGTAAAGGAAGTAGTCAATGTATGCTCTGTTACAGAAACGGAAGGATTTAAAACTATTTAATAAGATAACTAATTTTCCTTTAAGGTATTGAAGAAAAAGCAAAAACCAGTAAATGATTGCTGGGTATGGAACAGACAAAAAGTCCAAATTTGGAACGTTGTAAGGATAATATTGGTCCATTCTTTCGGAACCTTTCCAAGTCTAGCATGTCGAAATATGTATTTGAGTAAACGGAAATTGACTGAGGGTATACATCTGTCGATAGAACCGACTGATACTTTTTAGCTTGTTTTTTATATTGCACACAATTTTTTTCAATTTGATATACCAAATCGAATTGTACATTTTGTATTTTTTAAGTATTTTCGCAACAGTGTAGAAAATTAGTGTACACTTTAGTGTACACTTTATATTAACCTCTGTAGAACGAAATGAGTATTCTCTACTTATAATACCTCTGATAACATAATTAATCTTATTAACACGAAGAAACTATTACTAATTGTAGTAAAAAAATAAGAAAAACGCAAACTTAAAAATCGATGTAAAACATATGTAAAAAAACTAAAAAATAGATTAATTCAAAAAAAAAAACTCGCTTCTATAGAAAACCTTATGATGTACCACCTTCATAATTTTCCTCATTTTCATGGCTTGATTCCACACCTGTTACGCGATCACTGTCTTTACTCTGCCTCAAATTGAGATTCTCCAATTCGGTAGATAAATGATTAAAAGACGAGGGTTGTAGTGGATAACGCTTTCGTTGTGGCTATGGCTGTTGTTGAACATATACGGATTGGTGATTTTGTTCTTCCTGTTGTTGCTGAATATGATGTAAAACTGGCTGTTGTTGAATTTCTATAAAGTGGTGGTTTGTATGTTGCGACAGCTGTGGCTGAAAATGTAGTGCCACTGGCTGTTCGTGTTGTTGAGACTGCTGGTGCTGGATATGATGTGAAACTGGCTGTTGTTGGATTTGTACATAGTGGCGGTTTGTGTGTTCCGACAGCTGTGGCTGAAAATGTTGTGCCACTGGCTGTTGGCGTTGTTGCAAATGCTGGTGCTGTATATGCACTTGCTGTTGGTGAGTCTGCACTATGTGGTGTTGTTGTGCCTGTAAATGCATCGGCTGTTGTGGAGTGTGGACAAAATTAGGTTGGAATGTTGCAAAAAAAATTTGATGGAAAGTACTATGGCACAAACTGCTGAAAGTGTTGCTGGAATGTTGGTTCTGGATATTGTTTGCAGCGGTATTGTTGCACTTGATTATAATGCGAATGTTGTGGGCCATAACGTTCTTGTCTGCTGTGAGTATTCGGCCATGGATGGCCATAACGTTCTTGCCTGTTGCGCGTATCCGGCAGTTGCCTTTTTAATGCCTCGATTTTTTTCGAATTTTCTTATTAGTCTCTGCCTTTGGAGAAACTGATTTTTTCTCCTGTTACCTGGAGCCACGCTAACTTGTAAATTTAGCGGTATCTTAAATGGATACTAGATATTGCCAAAAACAGATTATATAATACAGGTTTTTTTAAAATATTATTATACAAAACTTACCATTTTTTAAATGAACGAATACAAAGGAGTTTCACGAATTCTTATTATTTTGTTGAGGCTTCACTTAAACTTTTTAGCTTTCTTTTGCCAAACTCCGTTAACCTTTTGGTGTTTGCTGACGGCGATAAAATAAGTACCCGATTGTTGTAACGTCTTAAATTGTTTTTCGCACAGACGTTTACGTCTAACGTTTATATTTATGATATTTTATTAAATACTATATAATGTACAACTCACACATACACAAACACATTTATCATAATTATATGTTAATGTAGGGCCCTAAGGGTTTGTAAGATGAAATGAACTCCTAAAAAAATTATAATATTAAGAAAAGGCATCTATACATCGGACATAACTTGCAGCTTTAATTAAATTAATATTTTTACTTTTAATGTTGCTTTGTTTTTTAATTTATGAACATATTGACTATATGTTGTTTTACGTTAAATACACTTTTCAAATAACTTATAAAGTTAACGGCACCGTAATTACACATATCGGCGTCTAAATTGAAGTGCAGCGTCGACATTTATTTTTCAGTTTGTTTCGAAAACGAAAAGCAAAAATGTTAAACGTTAAAAGAAAATTATTTTGTTATATATGTAGGCTTTTCTTTCTAAATTATAAAAGGAAGGGACAGTCTATAGATAGTTTTAGGAAGTTAAGTGACAACACTCTGTATGCAGAATTATTCGAATAGCTAAATAAGCAACTTAACTTATCCACGCACATTGAGCTACGGTAAAATTATTTGCGACAGCAGAGAACAAAGAAAGCGAGTTTTCTCTCGTTTTAAAGCTGCAGTAAGTACTACAAACTTTCCATGTGATGAATAAGATTGTTATATAAATATTTACTGACAATCATCTTATATGTAGTAAAGGAAGTAGTCAATGTATGCTCTGTTACAGAGATGCAATGATTTAAAACTATTTAATAAGATAACTAATTTTCCTTTAAGGTATTGAAAAAAAGCAAAAACCAGTAAATGATTGCTGGGTTTGGAACAGACAAAAAGTCAAAATCTGGAACGTTGTAAGGATAATATTGGCCCATTCTTTCGGAACCTTTCCAAGTCAATCATGTCGAAATATGTATTTGAGTAAACGCACATTGTCTGAGGGTATACATCTGTCGATAGAACCGGCTGATACTTTTTAACTTGTTTTTTATTTTGCACACAATTTTTTCAATTTGATATACCAAACCGATTTGTACATTTTGTATTTTTTAAGACTTCGCAACAGTGTAGAAAATCAAATTAGTGTACACTTTATAACAACCTCTGTAGAACCAAATTAGTATTATCTACTTATAATAGCTCTTATTTTAAAATGAAAATAGAGGGCAAATTACGAGTTATAATATATATATATCGTATCTTAAAAAATATTTATATCTAACATAATTAAACTTATTAAAACGAAAAAACGATTACTAATTGTAGTAAAAAAATAAGAAAAACGCAAACTTAAGAATCGATGTAAAAACATATGTAAAAAAAAAAAAAACTAAAAAATAGATTAATTCAAAAACAAAAAAACTCTCTTTTATAGAAAACCTTATGATGTACCAACTTCATCATTTTCCTCATTTTCATAGCTTGATTCCACACCCGTTACGCGATCACTGTCTTTACTCTGCCTCAAATTGAGATTCTCCAATTCGGTAGGTAAATGATTAAAAGACGAGGGTTGTAGTGGATAACGCTTTCGTTGTGGCTATGGCTGTTGTTGAACATATACGGATTGGTGATTTTGTTCTTCCTGTTGTTGCTGAATATGATGTAAAACTGGCTGTTGTTGAATTTCTATAAAGTGGTGGTTTGTATGTTGCGACAGCTGTGGCTGAAAATGTAGTGCCACTGGCTGTTGGTGTTGTTGAGACTGCTGGTGCTGGATATGATGTGAAACTGGCTGTTGTTGGATTTGTACATAGTGGCGGTTTGTGTGTTCCGACAGCAGTGGCTGAAAATGTTGTGCCACTGGCTGTTGGTGTTGTTGCAAATGCTGGTGCTGTATATGCACTTGCTGTAGGTGAGCCTGCACTATGTGGTGTTGTTGTGCCTGTAAATGCATCGGCTGTTGTGGAGTGTGGACAAAATTAGGTTGGAATGTTGCAAAAAAATTTGATGGAAAGTACTGTGGCACAAACTGCTGAAAGTGTTGCTGGAATGTTGGTTCTGGATATTGTTTGCAGCGGTATTGTTGCACTTGATTATAATGCAAATGTTGTGGGCCATAACATTCTTGTCTGCTGTGAGTATTCGGCCATGGATGGCCATAACGTTCTTGCCTGTTGCGCGTATCCGGCTGTTGCCTTTTTATAGCCTCGATTTTTTTCGAATTTTCTTATTAGTCTCTGCCTTTGGAGAAACTGATTTTTTCTCTTGTTACCTGGAGCCACGCTAACTTGTAAATTTAGCGGTATCTTAAATGGATACTAGATATTGCCAAAAACAGATTATATAATACAGGTTTTTTTAAAATATTATTATACAAAACTTACCATTTTTTAAATGAACGAATACAAAGGAGTTTCACGAATTCTTATTATTTTGTTGAGGCTTCACTTAAACTTTTTAGCTTTCTTTTGCCAAACTCCGTTAACCTTTTGGTGTTTGCTGACGGCGATAAAATAAGTACCCGATTGTTGTAACGTCTTAAATTGTTTTTCGCACAGACGTTTACGTCTAACGTTTATATTTATGATATTTTATTAAATACTATATAATGTACAACTCACACATACACAAACACATTTATCATAATTATATGTTAATGTAGGGCCCTAAGGGTTTGTAAGATGAAATGAACTCCTAAAAAAATTATAATATTAAGAAAAGGCATCTATACATCGGACATAACTTGCAGCTTTAATTAAATTAATATTTTTACTTTTAATGTTGCTTTGTTTTTTAATTTATGAACATATTGACTATATGTTGTTTTACGTTAAATACACTTTTCAAATAACTTATAAAGTTAACGGCACCGTAATTACACATATCGGCGTCTAAATTGAAGTGCAGCGTCGACATTTATTTTTCAGTTTGTTTCGAAAACGAAAAGCAAAAATGTTAAACGTTAAAAGAAAATTATTTTGTTATATATGTAGGCTTTTCTTTCTAAATTATAAAAGGAAGGGACAGTCTATAGATAGTTTTAGGAAGTTAAGTGACAACACTCTGTATGCAGAATTATTCGAATAGCTAAATAAGCAACTTAACTTATCCACGCACATTGAGCTACGGTAAATTATTTGCGACAGCAGAGAACAAAGAAAGCGAGTTTTCTCTCGTTTTAAAGCTGCAGTAAGTACTACAAACTTTCCATGTGATGAATAAGATTGTTATATAAATATTTACTGACAATCATCTTATATGTAGTAAAGGAAGTAGTCAATGTATGCTCTGTTACAGAGATGCAATGATTTAAAACTATTTAATAAGATAACTAATTTTCCTTTAAGGTATTGAAAAAAAGCAAAAACCAGTAAATGATTGCTGGGTTTGGAACAGACAAAAAGTCAAAATCTGGAACGTTGTAAGGATAATATTGGCCCATTCTTTCGGAACCTTTCCAAGTCAATCATGTCGAAATATGTATTTGAGTAAACGCACATTGTCTGAGGGTATACATCTGTCGATAGAACCGGCTGATACTTTTTAACTTGTTTTTTATATTGCACACAATTTTTTCAATTTGATATACCAAACCGATTTGTACATTTTGTATTTTTTAAGACTTCGCAACAGTGTAGAAAATCAAATTAGTGTACACTTTATAACAACCTCTGTAGAACCAAATTAGTATTATCTACTTATAATAGCTCTTATTTTAAAATGAAAATAGAGGGCAAATTACGAGTTATAATATATATATATCGTATCTTAAAAAATATTTATATCTAACATAATTAAACTTATTAAAACGAAAAAACGATTACTAATTGTAGTAAAAAAATAAGAAAAACGCAAACTTAAGAATCGATGTAAAAACATATGTAAAAAAAAAAACTAAAAAATAGATTAATTCAAAAACAAAAAAACTCTCTTTTATAGAAAACCTTATGATGTACCAACTTCATCATTTTCCTCATTTTCATAGCTTGATTCCACACCCGTTACGCGATCACTGTCTTTACTCTGCCTCAAATTGAGATTCTCCAATTCGGTAGGTAAATGATTAAAAGACGAGGGTTGTAGTGGATAACGCTTTCGTTGTGGCTATGGCTGTTGTTGAACATATACGGATTGGTGATTTTGTTCTTCCTGTTGTTGCTGAATATGATGTAAAACTGGCTGTTGTTGAATTTCTATAAAGTGGTGGTTTGTATGTTGCGACAGCTGTGGCTGAAAATGTAGTGCCACTGGCTGTTGGTGTTGTTGAGACTGCTGGTGCTGGATATGATGTGAAATTGGCTGTTGTTGGATTTGTACATAGTGGCGGTTTGTGTGTTCCGACAGCAGTGGCTGAAAATGTTGTGCCACTGGCTGTTGGCGTTGTTGCAAATGCTGGTGCTGTATATGCACTTGCTGTTGCTGAGTCTGCACTATGTGGTGTTGTTGTGCCTGTAAATGCATCGGCTGTTGTGGAGTGTGGACAAAATTAGGTTGGAATGTTGCAAAAAAAATTTGATGGAAAGTACTATGGCACAAACTGCTGAAAGTGTTGCTGGAATGTTGGTTCTGGATATTGTTTGCAGCGGTATTGTTGCACTTGATTATAATGCGAATGTTGTGGGCCATAACGTTCTTGTCTGCTGTGAGTATTCGGCCATGGATGGCCATAACGTTCTTGCCTGTTGCGCGTATCCGGCAGTTGCCTTTTTAATGCCTCGATTTTTTTCGAATTTTCTTATTAGTCTCTGCCTTTGGAGAAACTGATTTTTTCTCCTGTTACCTGGAGCCACGCTAACTTGTAAATTTAGCGGTATCTTAAATGGATACTAGATATTGCCAAAAACAGATTATATAATACAGGTTTTTTTAAAATATTATTATACAAAACTTACCATTTTTTAAATGAACGAATACAAAGGAGTTTCACGAATTCTTATTATTTTGTTGAGGCTTCACTTAAACTTTTTAGCTTTCTTTTGCCAAACTCCGTTAACCTTTTGGTGTTTGCTGACGGCGATAAAATAAGTACCCGATTGTTGTAACGTCTTAAATTGTTTTTCGCACAGACGTTTACGTCTAACGTTTATATTTATGATATTTTATTAAATACTATATAATGTACAACTTACACATACACAAACACATTTATCATAATTATATGTTAATGTAGGGCCCTAAGGGTACGTAAGATGTAATGAACTCTTAAAAAATTATAATATTAAGAAAAGGCATCTATACATCGGACATAACTTGCAGCTTTAATTAAATTAATATTTTTACTTTTAATGTTGCTTTGTTTTTTAATTTATGAACATATTGACTATATGTTGTTTTACGTTAAATACGCTTTTCAAATAACTTATAAAGTTAACGACACCGTAATTATTACACATATCGGCTTCTAAATTAAAGTGCAGCGTTGACATTTATTTTTCAGTTTGTTTCGAAAACGAAAAGCAAAAATGTTAAACGTTAAAAGAAAATTATTTTTTAAGTGTTTGTTTTCTCTTTCGAGACGAGCTAATGATCTGAAATTTGCAGTGAAAAGGAAAGCCAGATAGACACTACCACACACTCACCACTATGCGACGCGTTTCGCCGTTGGTTAAGCGGCTCATCAGGCATATTTGATGTGGATGATGGCTTACAAGGGCCGTTCTCTGGAAAGTAGTATATATTTCGAACTTATTGCAAATTAGCATATGCGAATTATACACTAGAAATTCTCCAGGTTCGACTCAAGTTCTATTGGCAGATCTTTTTCACAGCAACGTTTTGTTTTTGTAGTGATGGATTTTTTGTCCACAACAACTACATTGCTTCCAATGCATACACTTGTTTTAGTGCTGCTTTAGGAAGACGGGTTAATGGCTCTGAACGTAGAGACGGCAACTTCTAGTTGGCTGCACACAGAGGTCCGCGGTTCAAATCCCACAGCCAGGCTCGGCTGAATTTTTGAGTTTTGCCTTGTTAAGGCGAAGATCATATGTTTTATGATTTAAGTGTTTGTTTTCTCTTTCGAGACGAGCTAATGATCTGAAATTTGCAGTGAAAAGGAAAGCCAGATAGACACTATCACACACTCACCACTATGCGACGCGTTTCGCCGTTGGTTAAGCGGCTCATCAGGCATATTTGATGTGGATGATGGCTTACAAGGGCCGTTCTCTGGAAAGTAGTATATATTTCGAACTTATTGCAAATTAGCATATGCGAATTATACACTAGAAACTCTCCAGGTTCGACTCAAGTTCTATTGGCAGATCTTTTTTTCACAGAAACGTTTTTCGTTTTTTGTAGTGATGGATTTTTTGTCCACAACAACTACATTGCTTCCAATGCATACACTTGTTTTAGTGCTGCTTTAGGAAGACGGGTTAATGGCTCTGAACGTAGAGACGGCAACTTCTAGTTGGCTGCACACAGAGGTCCGCGGTTCAAATCCCACAGCCAGGCTCGGCTGAATTTTTGAGTTTTGCCTTGTTAAGGCGAAGATCATATGTTTTATGATTTAAGTGTTTGTTTTCTCTTTCGAGACGAGCTAATGATCTGAAATTTGCAGTGAAAAGGAAAGCCAGATAGACACTATCACACACTCACCACTATGCGACGCGTTTCGCCGTTGGTTAAGCGGCTCATCAGGCATATTTGATGTGGATGATGGCTTACAAAAAACGTTGCTGTGAAAAAAAGATCTGCCAATAGAACTTGAGTCGAACCTGGAGAGTTTCTAGTGTATAATTCGCATATGCTTATTTGCAATAAGTTCGAAATATATACTACTTTCCAGAGAACGGCCCTTGTAAGCCATCATCCACATCAAATATGCCTGATGAGACGCTTAACCAACGGCGAAACGCGTCGCATAGTGGTGAGTGTGTGATAGTGTCTATCTGGCTTTCCTTTTCACTGCAAATTTCAGATCATTAGCTCGTCTCGAAAGAGAAAACAAACACTTAAATCATAAAACATATGATCTTCGCCTTAACAAGGCAATACTCAGAAAATTATTTTGTTATATATGTAGGCTTTTCTTTCTTAATTGTAAAAGGAAGGGGAGTCTATATATAGTTTTAAGAAGTTAAGTGACAACACTCTGTATGCAGAATTATTCAAAAAGCTAAATAAGTGCAACTTAACTTATCCACGCATATTGGGCTACGGTAAAATTATTTGTGACAGCAGAGAACAAAGAATGCGAGCATTCCTTCGTTTTAAAGCTGCAGTAAGTACTACAAACTTTCCATGCGATGAATAATATTGTAATATAAATATTTACTGACAATTGATTCGAATATTTGTCACAATTCTAAAGCAAATTGTTTCCATGTTATGTTGATACGCCTCTTAATGAAACTATTTTCTATCTGATGCGTTCACAGTCGCATAAAGTATCGATGAAACTTCTATCGCTGTGCAGTTTCGGATTTTTCTTGCAAACTTGCACAATGCACATGCTTTTTTTGTATACATGAATAAGAATTATTGCAATTAATATTCCGCATTTTGATGAATATATTGACATTTTTCATCGAAGATGTTTTAAATTTGGTATTTCAAACTGTCAATACTTAACAGTCCATGAAGTAGAACATTTTAACTAAAATTCATTTTTGTGAATCGTTACCCCTAATATTGACCAGTCACAACCAATTTGAATTTGGGAAACATATGGTAAAAATTATTACCAATCTATTATAGTACATAACGTTAAATACGGAAAAATTAACAATAATTATAACGTATTGATTTCTACAAAATTAATCTTTTTAGGATTCAGAAAATTTAACATTCCATGATTTGCTACAAAATACAAAAACATTATGTTTCAAGAACAATCTAATGGATAGTTACGAGGAAATAATTCGCCATTTTGGATTTCCCGCCGATAATAGATCAACAGAATATCCTAATGAGATACCTGATAATTCAAAAAACCTTTCTGCGGAAAATGCTATAGTTAAACAGGTACATAGTATTAAAAAACCAAACATAGTTGATGAAAACATGAATACCAACATGGGTATAACATCTAACGAATTTGTTACTATTAATATCGAATCAAGCAACAAAAATATTATGGTATTGGGAAATGAAAATACAATTCAATATAAGAAATCATAAAAGTGAAGTACTTTCCTTTGATGAGTTCGTAGATATTTTTTTCAATGAAGACCAAAATATTGAATTTATCACTATATTCAATATTTTGGTCTTCATTGACAAAAATATCTACGAACTCATCAAAGAAAAGTACTTCACTTTCTCCAATCCTCCAAATAGTTTGGATAATGGTAAGGGTTCTGTATGTAATAGTGTGGACGCTCAAATAGAAAATAATGTAACTACCTCTAATGCTCCTGAAAGTATGCTTGAAACAAATTTACCCGAATGTCATGCAGACAATAAAGAAGAGGAAACACTAAAAACTTTAACAAAACCGGTATATTAAGTTCTACCCTATGTGACAATGTAACCGACGTTAAATCGAATGCAGACATCGTTCTTGAGGAGTGTAAAGTAGTAGATTTAAACGTTCCGGATAAAAGAAACTTTCAGCAATATTTTTCCAGAAAGTACTTTGCGATCTAATTTACGTCAACGATGGAGAAAGGAACACAACAACCATCGATAAAACTGATATTTTAGGCTCCACACAATGTGGTAATATTATCGATGTTACATCGAATACAGATGTTGTTCTTGAGGAGTATAAAGTAGTGAGAAAGAAAATGAAACTAGACGCGGTTCTTAACGTAGAAGTAAAAAGCGTTAAATCAAAATCTTCGGATAGTAATAGCTTAATATTAGGCGGTAAAATTATTATCTTAAATAGCGAAGAAGTGTATTTGACCAATATTTCAAATATTGATTCGAAAATATTTATAAAATAAATTCAAGACCTGGTATGTCAAAAATTTAAAGTTATTAATAATGTGTGTCCGTTAAATTATTATAATACACGTATAAATAAAAATAATATAATCAACATGTATGCCAATTGTGTGTACCATAATTACGGACGTGGAAAATATAAATTCAAAGTATACACAGGCGAGAGTAAGAAGTTCGACTATTTTTCGACACAAGGAGAAGTAGTACACCGACTGATATAGAAATACCACATCAAGTACGTGGTGTAGAACGCATACTGGCCACCCACCTGGGTTGATAGGAAAATATATCAAATGAAAGAAACTTTATGGGATCTGGGTAACAACCAAAACTTATTAACCCAGGAAGCCGCAAGAAAAATAAAAGGAGAGGCAATTAGTTAACATGATCGCGACAAAGACAAATTTTACGACCTTATTAAACAACAAAGGGACAAAAATTGGGATGAATACATACAATATGCTTCAATCCAAGATGTGTATTTATTTACAAAGGAACAGTCACAATTAACGAAAATAAAAGAAGAATGAATAATGCAATTAAGTAGAAATACATTATTCCTTGATAAT